CGAAGCTGGTGATATCTAGAAAGTTATGGAGGAAATCTTGAACTACATGTTTGGAAAGCTTTTCTTTAAATCTAACCATTTCTTCAGAAGCTTTATATACTGTCCAAAGCAAGTTCCTAGATTGATTAGGGAAGTATGATCTCTTTTTACTAACAGCTAGAAGATGACTAATCATCATCTTCATCATGGCATGGTATTATCATCATAGATCAGATGAAAAAACTTCAGCCACCCTACCCTCAAAATCTGATCACAGCATGTCGAGAGGAAATTCTTCAGTAATTTAAGACCAGATATACTGGGCTTCACTTGTGTTTTCAGATTTTTTAATGTTGATATTGAGTGTGTGTACATGCTATGGTGCCTCATAACAAATAGGTGCTGATATTTAATGAATTTAGAAGGTTCATCTGATGAGAAGGTATTTGGCTACCTATCCATTTCATTGAATTTTGTCTGGATCCCAGTAAAAGTATTATTGAACAAAACATTGCACATTTGTTTAGATAGAAAATTAAATACTTTCCACTAGAAGGATATTTTTCCTATTTAATGCTTAACATGATAAAGGAATTATATAATCACAAGGAACAAAGAATACATACTTGCATATATAATTCATGGATTAGGAATTATTAAATTATCTAAACTTGAATGTGGAAAAAGAAGAAAAAAATTAGTAAGTTTACTTGGTGTTACAGTTGTTCATTAAAGCATTCAAATATATTTTACACAGCTGCTGGATATACAGTTTGTCAGCAGCAATTAGAGATTGCTGGACAGCTGCTGCGATTCAGTAGATGATTCCATGCCACAAGATACTTTGAAAATTCTTCCTGAAAACTCTGGAAGATGCTGGAGTGCTAGGACAAGAAAATATGCATACTACCTTCTAGATGTCAGTTCCAACTACCCATTCAAATATCTTCAAATGTCAGTAAATGTTCCCTTTCTAGGACAAGATAGCATATCAATGCCTTTTCATAACAGACAAGCTTTAGCTACTTGAAGCAAAACTTTTCGACTCCAGCCCAACAGCTTGTTTTCTTTTTTATCCTGCTTATAGACCAGACACTCGTTAACCTCTCAGATCTCTGGAGAGTTGTGGTTTAAGGGAACCCAGGAGGAAAAGACAAATTTGGAAAGCCATTTATCCATCTCACTAGAATTGAGACATTATGGTTTTTATTCTTCCCCCACTCCCCAAAATACCAAACTTCCATCATCAGAGCTCTCTGAATAAACGAACATTTTGTTACTGGACTCAGGAAGAAAGAAACCACATGCCTGTTAGGGACAGAGAGAGGAGGAGTGGAGTATGTGCTTGGGAGCGTGTTTATTTGACTGGATTGCAGACGGTCAACCGAAGAACATGCAGATCATGTATTTTTAAGCATTTCATAATGTCTTATTATTAATTCCAGCCAAAACCACCAAGACCAAAATTATCTGAAATTGGTGCTTGTGTGTCCTGACCCCAAAGCCAACAATGGTTGCATGAAAAAAATAAAATAATAATAATAAAAAATCTACGTTCCTCTCAGGTTTAATTGTTTTTTTAATCAATTAGAAGGCAGTGCCCTTTAGAGTCTATGGAGAAGACAGGTCTCCCTAACTAACAAATTGAAATGTGGTCCTGGGTAAATTTTACTTCCAGGAAACCAAAATGCTGCAGTCCTTGAGAGAGGGAGGCTATAAGCAGAGGGCTCTTCTAAAGGAAGGAGTTTTTATTGAACCTGTCACTTGTCATTAAACACTCCATATTTTACCTTAGCCTGATATTTTTATTAGAGCATACAGACCTTTTTCATCTGTGAATGAAAGCATTCCCTTCAGCCTTGTGCTGAATATGGGGAAAGACTCTCTAAAATCGAGCCCACCCAAACAGGACAATTAGGTTCACAAAAGCAGGAAAGGCACTAAGGAAAATCAAGTAATATTAATACTAAGATAACTTACACATTTCAGTGTTGACTATCACATCCCACTTCAATATTGAATTCTTACATGCATTTAATAATCTATCTTTAGATCTCAGAAATACTTGCATATAAATCTATACAAAGCAACAGACGCCAGTGCAGAATAAAACACAACCTAAGTGTCCTGGCTTCAGCTGGGATAAAATTATTTTTCTTTCTAGTGGCTGGTATAGTGCTGTGTTTTGGATTTAGGATGACAATAACGTTGATAACACACTGATGTTTTAGTTGTTGGGAGGCAGTTGTAGTGCCTACACTAAAATCAAAGACTTTTCAGCTTCCCAGGCCCTGCCAGGTGCACCAGAAGCTGGGAGAGCACAGCCAGGACAGCTGACCCAGACTGGCCAAAGGGACATTCCCTGCCATAGAACGTCATGCTCCGCATATAGCTGGGGAAGCGAGCCGGGAGGCGGGATCGCTGCTCAGAAACAAACTGGGAATCAGGGTTTTTTTTCGCAGCTTGAGAGCAATTGCATTTGTGCATCACTTGTTTTATATATTATTATCATTATTATTATCTTCCTTTGTTATCCTATGAAACTCTCTGTCTTTATCTCAACCCACAAGATTTTTTTCCATTCTCCTCCTCATCCTCCTGGGAGTGGGGGGTGCGAGCAAGTGGCTGTGTGGTGCTTAGTTACCAGCTGGGGTTTAACCACGATACATAAGCAAAGTGAAAAGAGTATGTACTGCTGTACAGACATCTCTAATGGGGAAACCTGAATATAAAAAGGTAAAGATAATAAAAATTGTACACTTTGGCATCCTTGTTCCCAATTTTAGCTTCCCTATTGGATTACCAACCTACAACAAAGTAACACTGGAGAAAAAGAGAAAAATCTCAAACAACTTGGCTTCCTCAAAAGAGACAATTGGTTATTTGTTTCTTGTTCCTAGATGTAAGTTGCTTACTTTGAAACTAAATAAGAGGAAATATTTAGAGTAAAATTATGCTAAGTATGCTATTCATAGTTTTATATCTATGATCTCTCTACTGCTAAAACATGTTGGAAGTAAAGAATTGGATAGGACATTTCCTATCCAAGGACAGCTATACATTCTTAAAGAGCTTTGATAGGAAGCAGCACCATTTTTACCACCTAATTTCCGAGCAAAAGCTGCCTCACTGCTGCCACCAAAGCTGTACAATCTCTTTGAAGTATCAGAAATTGGTGTGAAATAGTTTTAACAGGACTTAAAGTTATCAGTAACCAGAATATCACTGTCTGTCCATTGCTATGTGTAGTTGTACAAACACATTACATAACTTACTGTATCTTACAAAAAAAAAAAAAAAGGCAGTTTTAGTATGCAAGTAGGAGCTGAAAGAAAACAAATTCCAATGCATTCCACTTGTGTAAAATAAATAAAAATGAAAAGGGAAAGAATAATTGTGGGGCAAAAAAAGCCAGAAGAGAAAGCCATACCTTTTAAAATCTGAAAGTGCTATATAAAAACAAAGAAGATGGTCTTGTGGAATGGTGTCATTCGATAAATATACCATGCATAATAATTGCAAGGCAAATGTCAAGTACCACTTATCTTTTCAAATTTAAAATATAGATTTACTCAAACACAGATTAGAAAGCTAACCAAATGTTCTATTAGTTTTAGGAATTTTTAAAGATATTTCACTAATACAAGGAGGATTGTGTTATTTAAATTTAAGCTGCCACATAACGAGAGCCTTGTGGATTGCCATAGCATTACAGCCACAAAACCCATTAGCAGATGTAGAAATCCCACATCCCCGCCTTTTATAGAAGTCTGCAGTTATGAAATCATTTTCATACACTTGGAACTTAACTATTTCAGTGCCCTGCATCCACAGGACTGGAATTGAGGGGGAAAACCACAACATGGTGCATCTGCGAGCATTCCACATGGACATGTTTCTGTGGTTCTTTCAAAAGTTCTTAAAGAGTTGAAACCATCCCCCTGGCATTCCACAGAACAGAGTAAGGAAGTATCTCTTTCAATTAAGGAGGGGATTTATCTTTGCTAGTGAACTATTAGGATTTATTTTGTGTCTTCATTGTAGATGATAGTAGAAGATATGTAGCTGGTAACAGAAACAGGATTTAGCGTAGGATAACAAATGAAAACACCTATGCTCTCTAAAGATTTAAAACATAATCTAAAAAGATCTCAAGGGTAGATTACTGTTTCCATGTTTATTTTCACTCATCAAAAGAAAAGTTATTTTTGCAAATTAAAGAAATCACATGCAAAATATCAATTATCTCCTCACTTAGCATCACAGTATCTTTGCTTTATTTCGTGGCAACAGTTTAACATATTTATGATAGCACTTGAAAACTTACCATTTGATAAACCATATACAGCTAATATCAACATGTAGCACACAGAAATATTTTACTTGCTTTCATGCGGTGACTTTCATATGCCTAGGTAAATTTGAGGTGACCAGATAATTCTGCGGGCAGCAGCATGGTATCATTTCAGAAATAAAGCAAACTGGCTAGTAAGCATAACAAGAATTCACGAGGTAGAGTAGAGTTTCACTGTCAAACAAAGATGAGTAAACAGAGAAAATATGGCCCTCCAGTTGCCCCACCATAATTATAATTTACTATAAGAATACTTACTTGCTATCTTTCATTTACTGAAGAAAAGGCACCAATATAAGGTAAAACCAGCTGGGAAAATACACAAAACAGCTAAAGAAAAAGGCTGTTAGATGAGCAGTGAAGAAAGAAATGCCACACAAATCTCAATGCCGAAATTATACAATTATTTAAATGATGCACTTCATAACTGAGTCACCAGTTAAAACTATTTTTCCCTTTTATGAAAATGGGGTAAACTATGAAGGGAACTGAGAGAGGCTGCTTTCTTTGAAGTGCTTAGATGTGTAGAAGTGATAGATGTGTCCTTTTAAACCATTAGTAACAAACTTCTTAGGTAACAGCTATGAAAATGGATCAGGAGGTACAGCAGAGAGCAAGGTAGCTAAGCCTGGCTGATTGGCCACATTTCATTTAATTCCCATGTTACCTGAAGCTGTTGGGAGCTGTCATTAAGATTATCCTCTCGTCTCCTGGCCTCCTCCAACATCTGTGCACTCTTCTTTTTCTCCACTTGTTCTTTGTGCTTCAGATTTGCTACTTTCTTATTTTGATCTTTAACTTGCCTGTAAAAGAGAAGAGCACTCAGAGAGCGGTCCAGAGCCGGCTTCCCGTCAGCCCCAGCACTGGTGAGCTGGACTGGGGAAGAGTGAAACCCTCAAGCACCATCTCTTCGTTTGCAGAAGGTCACCAACACCAAACTCATCCTCAAGTGTTATCCTCAACTGTTAATTCAGCCAGAAGAACGCTTCATTTTTCTCATTACTATTAACCTAAATGTGGAAATTTCTAAAACAAAAACCTTAATTATTATTTGGTATAAACTGTTAATCCAAAGACGCACCTGCCCTCTAGGTGGCTACGTGGGAGAAATCTTTTCTGTGTTCATACACAACATACACATAAAAACCACAGCCAAGTAATAGCCTATTTTGCTTTGGGTACCACTATATCTAACGTAAGGAAAATAGGAGGATCACAAGGAAAAACTAATGAAACACGATGTGAATATAGACTACCTACAAGATCTAGGCAATCTATTTGCAGAAGTAAAACTATTTCTTTTCAATGTCAAGTTCTACTTGTTTACTAGCTATTTTGAGGGATTTCCTATCCTTTCTTTTTACAGAAACACGTCTGAGCAAGTAAGAACAAACTATTTCAGAAAGCGTGCATAATTTCCTTTTCACTTGCATCTATGAATTATTTTTGATGATCCTGGCAACTACCATTGCCTGCAGACAGGGTTTGGCCTTTCTGGGCATTAAGACACATGGAGTATTGAATCTAATTACAGGCCCTTTAATCTCTGCCTCCTGACCACAGAGAACTTAAGTCTAAACTTTTAGTCCAATCAAAACAAAACAGGCTAGCTTTGCTTCCTCAGCTCTTTTCTCCATAATTATATCTGGAGTCTGGATTTTGGAATAAAAGACAGATTCTTTGGTCGCAAGATTTCCCCAAAACATCATGCAAGTAGTAGAGACGGCTCTTTAATTTACTGTTTAGAAAGCAGAATGATATACTACCTTCCTATCTGGTACGTTATCCACACAGAGAGGGAAGAATGTTTCTTCTGTATTTCAGAAACACTTTTAGAACAGATCACAAACAACTCTGATTGCTTTAATATTTTCTTCAGAACTCATAACAAAAGTATGATCAAGAACATATCTCTTTGCTATATATATGTTCAAATTATGTGGCATATGGCTAGTCAGTGCTTTGAGTTCTTCCAAAAAAAAAGTAGGTTCAACACTGAGCTCTGCTTTTTGCAATGTAAGCCAACTGGAGCCGGGGAAAATTGCAAAGACAGCAAATTTTCCTTGGTGCTAAACAAACTTCTATTAGTGTGAAAAAGTGCTATGGCCTTCAGAGACTAAGAAAAAAAAGGAAAGTCCTTTTCTGATAATGTTAAAAAATTATTGGCATACTTAACTACCCTGTCCAACAGTTACAGCTGATGTGAATCAGGATGCTTTTTAAACAGAACCAGTATAATTGTGAAGTTGTTCTAACCCAGTGCTGCACACTGGCAATGGGCGCATTGCCCAGTTCGAAAGCAGACTTGTTCAGTGATTAAACAACTTATTGGAAATATTATGCTGGCACCAACTCAGCTTGTACAATACACAGTTCTATCTGTCCAATAACATAAACATAGCAAGTACAGCTAAGTTAATGCAGAAAATGAAAATATGTAAGCCCAACACATTCAATTCCACATGAGCCTACTTATTCAACTTGTAAATTAAAATTAGGGGAATTAATTCTTTTATAAAGAATTGCAAACCTAGATTCATCTGTTGGGAAACTGGTCTGTGTTACTGTAATCCACTGGTTAGATAAGTGAACAACAATATTAATAAAGCCACAACCCTCATCAAAATACATCTGAAGTAGATCACTTTCCCCATACAAAACATGTATTTCAAAGAAAGGAGTAATTATAAGGGATATACTCTTGACATCCACCTTGTCATGTCTGAACCAAAATTAATGTCTTCCTAATATATAAGGTAGATATTCTGAGACAAATTCAAGCATTCCTAAGGCAGTTTAAAAGATGGAAGCCTTGAAATTACCTAGTGCTTGTAATACTCAGATCAATCCTCATAATTGTTGTACTGTTTGGAAACTTTAATTCATATGCAGGACACAACTATCACTCTGTACCTTTGATGTCAAAAAGCAACAAAAGTTGGGCAATAAACCTTTTCAAATGATACAGCTATCTATGGCATTACCTAAAATTTCCCCGAGAAGGTCACATGAAATTTGACGTCTGTAAATCTAAAAGGCTTGCAGTCATTTGATGCATGAAAACACGTCTCATCTCATCTCAATGCTCATGGTACCAAATGATGTTCTTTTAACTCTTTGGAACATAATTACAGATATGCACAGCACATTACCCTGTCAAAGGGGTAGTAAGGTTTTGAAGAAATCCTTCACCTGTGTAAGTATTTTTTGTAAAACTGAAAAAACTGTGCAAGATTAAAGATAGCAAAACCAGAATGAATTAATAACGATGGCAACAGCTGAGAGATTTACAAGTGTTCTCTAGAAAGCATTAGTGTTAGCATATACAGCAACTGAGTAAACACCGATTTGCAATGTGCACATGGAATTCTCATCATAAAATAGAGAGCACATGAATTTCTGAGAGATACAGAGCATTAAATGTTACTGTAAGCACGTATTCTTACTGAAACATCTCTTTTTATATGGGGCTAGAGAGAGAGAGAATGCTGGTGATTCTAACAGTTCACATTCAGTGAGAGAAAGCTTTAAAGAAGGATATCACTGGAACCAACAAAAACAATAACAGAACTAACAAAAGCAAAACTACCTCATCTCAGATGTTTATTCTGTGTCACCCTGAAATCAAATAATTAAAAATGTTCTAGTCACATATAGAAAAAAAAATCTAATGGAAATGTTTATTATGTTGAATTACAGGGGAAAATCCCTCTCATTTTGGAAATTATAATTTCTTTTGCATTTTTCAATAGCAATTGTCAGATAATTACTTTTTTTGAGGTCTGGCTCCTAAAAAATTTAGCACTCAAAAATGAAAATTTTTTTCTGTTGCTTAGAATCCTCCTCCATTTCACAGTATGTCGTACCAATGCTGTTACAACAGAAAATACTAGAGAAAAGGAAATAGAATCAAAATCAGGCTTCTAATTTAAAAAACAAACAAGCAAACAAACCCCCAAAAAACCCCCACAAAACCCAAAACAACCAACCAAAGTATTTCGACTAAAGACGGGCCAAGATTTTCAGAATTAATCATTTCACATCCTTTGATTTTGGGTGCCCAATTCAAGCCATACGCCTGCTGAAAAAATGAATAAGATTTCTGAATCTGGACACTGAAATAACTACTAATTTCTATGACTATCTTTTTTTTTTAAAGAAACAAAGCTGCATCACTTAAAAAAAGACACACCTTTCCACTTCTCTCTGAAATTCTTGAATTTCCAGAGATGAGGTATAGCTGAACACCACGGGGAATGAACTAAAATAATCACAATAAGCAATAAAAATTTTCAAATGAGATGATTTCAAAATTTAAAATAATTTAAAAATAATTTTAAAATAATTTTAAAACAGGAAGATGAATATTAGCAATAGAAAAATTAATGGACCATCAAGCATTCCTGAAAAGTGGAAAGTCACTTTATTACTTGTGTGTCCTTTGGAAGAGTTTTCCTCCCTAATAAGATTAATTGCTTTATAGGCTCTGTTATATATTAAGGCTTTTATGAAATTAATTTTTTCTGTACTAATGTGAATATTTTTTGCATTTTAATACTAATCTCGTTATCTTTTACTGTAATGCAGATCAGCCTATATAGCTGTTAATTCTTCCCTTATATGGACTTTTATGGTACATGTTAGTGTAGCTTAAGCTATTAACCTCATCTGATTATCTCTTCTGACATAATTTCAAATGTTCTTCTTATAAAATAAAAGGTGACAAAATGTTAACTGAAAATATGCAAAGGTTAATTTAAATTTTATAGTTATGTTTTAATATATTTTTCCTTCACAGTTATGCAACTAACACACAACAGTCTTTTTATAATAATCCAAGTATAAGTATACCTTTACAATGCATTTGAACCACCACAGAAGCTTCAAGATAAAATGTATACACACGTACTGTACTTCACCTAATGAATACATGCACTAGGAAAAAATATACAAATCTCATGCACAGCTGTAGAAACAGCCTGTTTTAGTCATCTGACTTAGGTACTCTGAAAATATTTCTATGTGTCAGTCAGCCATATCAGAAAGATTGTTTAGCTCGAGCCTTCATTGACGTAGCATTACCACCACCCACAGGACAGTCCACTGTTGCTGCAGCTACTAATCCTGATGGACAGATGAACTTCATCAGCTTTAAAGCACGCTTTGCTCCTCAACATAAGTTAAACTGACGTAATAGTCAAAATTACTGAAAAAAAAACCCTGCAAAGAAATCTGTATGCAATGAAGTGATATATTATTTAGTTTAAAACTGCCAACGTGCCTTGTATTATGAAATATTAGATTCTACAATCTATAATATAGAATCATAGAATCATGGAATATCTCAAGTTGGAAGGGACCCATAAGGATCCTCGAGTCCAACTCCCTGCTCCTCACAGGACTACCTAAAACTAAACCATATGACTAAGAGCGTCATCCAGACACTCCTTGAACTCTGACAGGCTTGGTGCTGTGACCACTGCCCTGGGGAGCCCGTCCCAGTGAGTGACCACCCTCTCAGTCAAGACCCTTTCCCTGATGTCCAACCTGAACTTCCCCTGACGCAGCTCCATTCCATTTCCTCGTGTCCTATGGCTGGTCACCACGGACAGATCAGGACCTCCCTCTCCACTGCCCCCCGCCCCCTTGAGGAAGTTGATAACATTGCACTCAAAGCACTTGGTAGTCCTGAGAGACACAGAGGCACATTTATTCACTTGTGGAATGAAATGGAGAAGCCATCTGAAAGACTATAATACTACCGCAATTTAGGTCAGAGCGCAAAACACACTATAATGGGAAG